ACGGTAAAAGATGGACTTAAAGTCATCGAAGTCCTGCTGAAAGAAGCAAAATCAAAGCATGTCGCGGCCGATGAGTCGGACGTCGATTTGGCAAGCGTTCTGAGCGGTGCCGAGTGTAACCGCAAGGACCGTAAGGAAGAGAGAGAGCGTTCATATAGGCGTAATCTCAAAAGCATCATAAGAGATGCTCAGAAACGGAAGAGAGAGGGACTAGAGGAGTCCAGAGGAGACTAGAACCCCAACCCATAAGAGGAAAAAGGAGGAAGCTCCTCCAATGGAAAAGGAAGTACCAGATCCAAAGATTCCTCAATTGGAAAGAATTGGGTCAAAAAGATCCACAGTTCTAATCCGAGTCGGTCAAGGATTGACGTATGCTGACGTTCTAGGTAAGCTTCGCAAAGAGGTTAACCCGGAGGACAGCCATACGAGAATAGTATCAGCAAAAGCTACAAACAAGGGGGACCTTCTGATTAAGTTCAGAGGAGACTCCGACAAAGACGCTTTCACCGCCGAGGTTACCAAAGCGGTTGGAAGCATGGGTAAGGTGCAGTCATTGGATCGAAGAGTTACACTCGAGATCCGTGATTTGGATTGCCTTACCCAAGAAGCTGAGGTGCAACAAGTGTTGTCTGAAGCAATGGGTAAGCCAGGAAACAGAAGAGTGACAGTCTTAGGACCCAACCGCCGAGGGATGAAGCTCGCGGTTGTAGTCACCAATCTGAAAGTGGCGAACAGGCTGGAGAAATTGGGACACGTAAAAATTGGTTTTATGTGTTGCCCAATCAAAAGAAAAGTAATGGTCGTCCGGTGTCATCGATGCCTGGGATACGGCCATATTGGAGCCAAATGCCAGAAGGAGGACAGATCGGCTGCGTGCTTTAAGTGCGGTGAGGCCGGTCACAGGTCACAGGTCACGGATGCACCTTATTAAGATCACCCACAATCCTTGTCACCTCTTCGGCGAACTTCTCCTTTCCTTGTGAGTCTTCTATTTTTAAAAGAAGGTCACCTTTCTTTGTGGGCATTGCTCCAACCACTCTTGTCTGGCTGGCATCAGGTTCAGCTTCTCTTTTGAGCTTTCCTAAGACATCAGCATAACTAACACCTTTAGCCAGCTTAACCACCATAGCTGATCGTGGCGGTAACCCAGGTATTTTCCTACCTTGATTTACGTTCGAAACCCTGTCAACCTTACGTGCAGACAGTTTTGGAGGTTTCACCTCCTCCTTCTTCTTTTTAAGGTCCTGTCGAGCCTCCACTGACCAGACTAATCCTTGATAGAGACGTTCATCCGTTCTCCTCGCTTCATCGTGCTTTTCTCCAACCTCCTGAATGAGCGATTTTAGACTTTTTAGTCCCTCCTTAATTGTCATGCTAACATTCTTCTGGATCTCGCAGGTCTTAAGCATCTTGCTAACCTCCTCAGCAATTACATCAATGCACGCTCCCTATTCCTTTCGCAGCTGAATACATCTGTCTCTATCAACTCTGTCCAAAATAATTATTGGCACCACCAAAGCGTTGTTGTCCTCCTGCATAGACGTTATAGCATTGCCGAAGCATTGATGCGACGTCCATGATATCCAAGGGCACGTAAACATTGTATGTTCGGTCGTGAAGGTCGATGTATCTCTCCAAGATAGCAGAAAGTTTCCGCAAGGTGTATGCATCCTGGTATCTCTTCACATAGTTTACCCTTGTTAAATAATCAATTGTAAAAACTTATAATTGGGTATTGTATTATATTGGCATGCCTGCTGTCCAAAATACATGTATTTTGGTTATTGCTGTGACGTGTGGACTCCTTAGCAACTAGCAAGGTCAACTATTATTGTTGATGTTGTCTTGTCGCCACGCCAGGTACTCAGTGCAAAACGCTCTTGGAGACCTTCTACAGATTTCGATTTTTTTCACATAAAATAACTTCGAAATTACTTCTCATGATATACTTCCTATTCTACACATTATAACGTATCGTTTAAGCAAAAAAAAATAAAATCAATTTTTTTCGGGTTAAAGGTGTCACTTCCCCTTAATACAGGAAACTGCTCTGACGTTTTCTTGAAACCCTCTGCCTACGCAAGTGACCGTTAACGACAAAAAACGACAATTCGGTCGCCTGGTGTGGACTATGGGAATTACATTCAAAAGCGCTAGAGTATATATAACCAAAATTCCTCATTTTGGCTAGTCCTATGAGGAAAACTGGTTGATTCCGCTTCAGTTCAACACACTTATTTTCATGACTTGTTGGGATTTGGCTGTACTTTTGTAAATTTATTACTTTTATAGTGATAAACAACTCCACCAAATATTTTTTCAAAATTTTGAAAATTACCAAAAATATGGCATTTTCAAAATTTTTGTCTTTTTTTCTTAAAAGTGACATAACTTTGGTTCTAATTAACCGATTTTGGATTTTTAAAAAAGGATTTCTTTGGTTTTAAGTATATTTTAAGTTAAAATTAATATGTATGTATGTGAAGTTGGCCCCCCACTTTCAAAAAAATTAAATTTTCTTTAGAGTTCTGACTTACTCTACAATAGTTCTAGAGTTCCTGATAGTTTTTAGAAATAGTTCCGTCGAATAAATAGTAAAAAATATGTTTTTTTATAATGGGGGGCTAACTTCACGCAGCCCACCACTATTGAAAAAATTGATTTATTATTAAAGTTCTGAGTAGCTATAAGAGAGTTCTAGAGTTCCCTACAGTTTATTTCAATAGTTCTCATAATCCAAAATCATAAAAAAATAATTAAAAATTCAAGAATTTTTCAAAAAAATTAAAATGTTACGAAAAAAAAGTTCTGCTCAGAGTTCTGTTAGCCTCCGATAGTGTTCGACAAGAAACCTTAATAACAAGTTTTCCAAAACCCAAAAACTACTGAACTACAAGACTTTGAAGTTTCAAAAAAAATTTGATTTTTTATATATTGAGAGTTCTATGAGTTCTGATTAGAGTTCTGTTAGCCCCCGATAGTGTTCGACAAAAAACCTTCATAACAATTTTTTAAAACACAAAAATTACTGAACTACGAGACTTTGAAGTTAGTCATGTAAAGTTGGCACTACTTTTTTGAAAAATCAAAAATTTTACGAGAGTTCTGGGCACTTTAGCAATAGTTCTAGAGTTCTCTAACGATTATTTAAATAGTTCTGATAATTAACAATAAAAAAGCGACAATGAAAAATCATAGTGCTAACTTTGCATAGCACTATGATTTTTGCAAAAAAGAATTTTGACCTAATATTCTGAAAGAGAATAAAGAGTTCTAGAGTTCTCTACCAAAAAAACAAGAGTTCTGCAAAATTTCAAAAGTTATTTGCCTGTTAAATTTCTCAACAAATATGTATTCTTAGGGAAGATCTACAAAAAATTCCCTAGACTTTATAATATTTCAACCTTTTTTTGTTTTCTTTAATCCTTTAAGAAATATGACTATTTAAACAATTTTGATCAAATGTTGTTCACTAGTTATATTGCATATCAATAATTTTATAGTATTTTCGAACCAAAATATGACCCCCACGTTGAATTAGCAAAATTTAAATTGTTTTAAGAGTTATTGTTTAAACCATTTTTACGCATCACATTATTGAAAAAAAATTTCCTGTCGTTAATCATACTTTCGAACAAAAAATATTTGTTAGATTTTGTTCATAATTTGTTTAACACAGCAATAATTATTATAAACAAATAGAAATTATCATTCCCTGTTTTATCACGAGTATTTAAAAAAAAGAAAAGTCAGTCTATTGCATTAGGTCAAAAGTTATTAATATTTTTGTGACCGGGCTCTCTGTGCTCCACAGTCGGATAAAAAGATAAAATTTGGTTCAAATTAACTTTTAAACCACAATCTTTAACCAAATTAAATTTTTTTTCTCTAACTTAGAATTAAATTAGAATTAAATTAGAATTAAATGTAATGTATTTGAATTTTTGGAATTATGTAAATGAAAATACTGAAAACATTGAATTATAAAAAATTAGAAGCTAATTTTCGTTAACTTTCATTTTTAAATTTACCTTTAAAGATTTTTCATTAAAATTTTTGATATTTCAATTATTTTCAAAATTTGCAATTAAAATTCTTCAAAAATTGATTTTTAAAAATTGTAAATAAATACTTGAAATGTTTGGAAGAAAAGTCGAAAAAATTCCCAATTTTCTTAATTTCCCTGACAAAAATTTTTTTTCTGACATTTCCCTGACTTTACTGACAAAAATTTTGTTTCACTGACATTTCCCTGACTTTACTGACTTTACTGACAAGTGGCCACCCTGAATTCCTAAAAAGAATTTTATTATTTACGATACGACGAATATAATTGAATCCCTGCAAAAATTTTATTATTTATGAAAATAATTGAATGATTGCGAAGAAATTTATAAAAAATTTGTAAATAATTGAATTCCTGTGAAATTTTTATTATTTTATGAAAATATAATTAAAGGTTTGCGTGGATTTGAACTTAATTGAATTTTTGCGAAGGATTTTATTACTTTTGAAAATAATTGAATTTCTGCAATAATTTGTAATTTCTCTAAAATCAAAATATATCGTACAATTTACGAATTTTCGTCTTTTCTCTATAAAAATACGGACTTTACGGATCTTTTTTTAAAATAATGACTTTTACGGACTTCAAGCAAATTTACAGTCCTTTACGGGATTTACGGACCTAGTTCGTGCCCTGTATCAATATATATAATATTGCCAAGTTTCATTAAAACTGATGAGGATGCTCCTAAAAAATATATTCCACAAATTTTTTGATTTGCAATAAAATGAGACGCAGATACGATTAAAATCGTGATATTTAATTTTGAAGGTTCTTCGTAATGATTATATTTGGCTGAAATAAATAAACTATTCTGTATTGACTTTTTAAATGATTTTAATAAAATTATCTGACTTATTAGGTAGTGTAACGTTCGCTTGTAAATTTTGTAAAGAAAATGTAAAAAGTAGTTTTTTCAAGTGTTTAATATTACCTAGGATCAGGTAAGACGATCTTTTTGCTTGCTCTTGCTGCGGGTGCGCATTTGCTTTTTTCCATGGCCATCAAGTAGCTGACATCCGCCAAAACAGCCTCAAGATCCGCCATTTTCTCAAGATCTTTATATAATTTTCACGCGAAACTCAAAAATTTTAACTTTAAAAAGTTACTTAAGGAATGGACCACTGTCTATTGAACATCACTCATCGATACTTGCACTCACAACTCTCAATATAACCGGCACTTTCCCTTCTGAATGTCGAACGTCACTTTACTCGTCAAACCTGAGCACTCTGTTTACCTTCTCAAAGATTTCTTCTTTTTTATAAAATTATCAAGAGCAACTGTCTGAATTGTTACAAGAACTCGTAAAGACTATCGGACGGATATCATGTTCGATTTAAATCATTTAGTTTTTGATGGAAAATAGTCGAATTCAACCAGTCAGTCACTTTCACGAGTAAATTACCACGATTCATAGAAATATTAGCATTGTACGCAGAAAATTTCACATTTTTCAAAGATTATTTCTTTTCAGTAAACAATAATGTCTTGGATTATCTTTTATCATGTCGATTTTTTCACTATTTCCCTTTGTGCACAAAATTGATATCTGGCTGGAAAATTACCAAACACTTTTTGATGAAAGAAAATATATATTTAAAAGTGGAGAAAATTTTAAATCCAGTGTTCGATCAACTTTTATATAAACCGTTACAAACTTATTTTCAACGAGTAGAAACAATAGTTTATAGCTGTCATTGTCTGATGTTTATAAATTGTAGTAGAAAATTTACTAAAACGAATTGCTGTCAAAAAAAACGGAAACTTCCATGTAAACATTTGGCAACAAATATATCGAGTTTGTTATTTGTTTTGTGAATATTTTAACTTGAGAGAAATTCAATTTAAATACCAAGAATAACACTGACTTTTAATTTCTTACAATGTAGAAAAACAGTACAAGAATTAATACAATAGACGACACAATTGATTTATATCCAGTGAAAAAACCTTAGGTTGAGTAACATAGATGGAAACTACAAGAACCACTGAAATATTAAGGGTGCGGTCACAGCTCTGCCATCGTAATGTATAAAAGTACGGAAGCCTGTACGGATCGCAAGCGTCACGGTAAGTTTTTTTTAAAGAAAGTCCGTAAGTCTGTAATTTGATAGAAAAAGAGACGAAAAGTTTGTAAATTCTACGATATAATTTGGTGAATTTTAAAGAAATTACAAATAATTGCAGAAATTCAATTATGTTCATTAATTTTTAAAAATTCTCGGCAAAATTTCAATTGTTTTAAAAAGTTTCCTCAATTTAATGATTTTTAATAATCTACTATATATGTTAATAAAATTTTCCAAAAGAATTCAATCTATTATTTTTAAAAAATTCAATAAAATTCTACACAAACCTTCAATTATTTTCATAAAATAATAAAAATTTCACAGGAATTCAATAATTTTCATAAATAATAAAATTTTTATATGAATTCAATTATTTTCGTAAATAATAAAATTCTTTTTAGGAATTCAATTATTTATTTTTATTTATTTATTTATTTATTTTTTTTTTTTTATTTTTTTTTTTTTTACTCATCGCCGAATAGCAATTATTTTTAATACAATTTTAATGTAATTCCTTGAAAAATGTAATTACTCTTAAAATTTGTCGAAAGAATTTAATTATTTAAAAATTTGTTGATATAATAAATAATTATGACAATTAAATTATTTTTCTATTTAAATAATTGAATTCACGTAAATTTTTTAATAAAAAATTATTTAAAAATATTAATTTCACTTAAATTTTAGATTTAAATTTAATATTAAAAGCATTATAGCGTGAATTATATTAAATAATTTTTCATACTTTTAACTACCAATTCTGCAGAAGAATTAATTCTATTGAAAAAATTTATTTCAATACTTGGAATTATTTTTTTGAAGTTTTTATCTTCTGATTTATATTTAATTGAAAAATTTCCGAATAATTGAAATTTTGTAAAATTGAATTGTAAACAAATGAATTTGAAAATTCTCAAAGAACTTTTTCAAAAATTATTAAAAATAATGGATTTATAGAAGAATTTTAGTTAAAAACACTAATAAAATTTAATTTTAGAGAAATTACAAATTATTGCAGAAATTCAATTATTTTCAAGAGTAATGGATAATAATCAAATTTTTCTCCAAAACATAATTTTAATTTAATTCAATTATTTCAAAAAATTTTAATAAAATCCTTTACAAAAATTCAATTATCTTTATAGATATTAAAATTTTTGCAGACATTCAATTATTTCCAAATATTTAAATCAAATATTCTTGTCAAGAATTTAATTATTTTTAAAAATATTAAAATTCGTCGAAAAAATTAAATTATTTAAAAGAAATTTTAACAATATTCTTGTCAACAATTTTATTATTTTCATAAATAATTAAATCTTTTGCAGAATTTAAATTATTTTTAAAAATTTTAAAAAAATGCTTCCCAAGAATTGAATTATTTTTATGAATTTCATTAAAATTCAATGAAAGAATTCAATTATGTATTTTCAATACAATTTTAATTTAATAAATTGAAATAGTTTAATTTGTTTCCAAGAATTTTATATAATTCTTATTAACAGTAATTCAATTATTTCTAAAAAATTTTAATGAAATACTTGACAAGAATTCAATTATTTTTCAAAATTTTTAATAAAATTCTTCCCAATAATTCAATTTTCTTCATACATAATAAAATTCTTAGCAGAAATTTAATTATTTCCATTACAATGTTAATTTAATTTGTAGAAAAAATTCAGTATTTTTAAAAATTCCAATAAAATTCAATCTAAAAAATTCAATTATTTTTAAAAATATTATTAAAATTCTTTAAAAGAATTCAATTCCTTTCAAAAATTTTAATAAAAATTTTCCCAAAAATTAAAGTATCTTTATAAATAATGAAATTCTTTACAAACATTTAATTATTTACAAAAATTTAAATGAATTTCTTGTCAAGAATTTATTTTTCTGTATTAAATAATAAAACTCATTGCGGAATTTTAATTATTGTTAATAAAATTTTAATCGACTTCCTCAAAAAATGTAATTATTCTTTAAAAAAATTATATTAAAATTCGTCGAAAGAATTTAATTATATTAAGTATTTGTCGATGAAATTTCTTATGAGAACTCAATTTTAAGAAACATTTAATTATTCAATAAATTATTTATTTAAATGATTAGATTCTAGTTGCATTTTCTAATAAAAATTGATTTAAAAATGAATTTTAGTTAAAATTTCAGATAATAATTAAATATTAAAAGTAATATAGCGTGAATTTTGAGAAATAATTGAATTTTGAAATTAACATTATGAAAAAGTTTATTTAAATTTTTAAAATATTTTTTGAAGTTTTTATTTTCTAATATATATTTAATTGAAGAATTTATAAATAATTGAAATTTCGTAAAATTGAATATTGTAAACAAATGAATTTAAAAATTGTCAAAGAACTTTTTCCAAAATTATTAAAAATAATCGATTTAAAGAAGAATTTTAATTAAAAATTCTTGAAAATAATAACACAGGACCATATAATTTTTTTAAAGGAAGTATTGACCGGATTATGTTTTTATATGTTTTTTGGGTCGCTGAATTCAAATCCGAACTCAGTTTTCCGTCATCGCGTCAAGTTTTTTCACAAATTAATAAAATTCGCAAAAACTGACTGTAAAAAAGATATAAATAAAAAAAAGCAGAAGATTCTATTAAAAAACAACTTTAAAACACTGAAAAAATATTATATAATGTGAAGCAATCGAAGAAACTCGTAAATATTCAAAATTTAAGATGTCGGATACAATATGGAGTCGATTTTTTTTAAATTCACCCAATTCGCCTAAAACTTGTTACCTGGGGGGTTTTTTGGGGTCGCTGAATACAAATTTCACCTTAGTTTTCAAAAATTCAAAATCTGATAAATTTTTAAAAAATTCGTCAGCCATATTGGATCCGCCATTTTGAATTTTGAAAAACTGAGGTGAAATTTGTATTCAGCAACCCCAAAAACCCAAAGTAACAAGTTTCAAGTAAATCTGATAAATTTTTAAAAAATTCGTCAGTCATATTGGATCCGCCATTTTGAAGATTTATATGACTCGGACTGGTTATATTTTTGACAGTAATTAGTCCGTATTTTTTATTTTTGGTCCGTAAAGTCCTTATTTTTAAGTTACGCATGTAATTTACGTGACGTTTATCACGTGCGGAACCCTGGTTCAAACGCAAGCATGTAAACACAGCCTAAGCGCTCGCCCGAAAATGAGAAAGTATGAAAACACCATAAAAATGTATTTTCGATTTTTGCCTGTGTGACAAGTACTTTACGATTACAACAACAACCCAACTCTGTTCTATAAAGCAGACAGACTGTGCACGGTGTGTGCACACAGAAATGTGACCATTTAATTTAAAGAGAATGTAGTAGTGATGTGTTTGTGAATTAGCAAAACATTTTTTATTTTCTAACAGATTCGCACAGTTGTCAAAAATGACAGACAAGTTTCAGCAAACGAATTCCTGTCAATAATGCCTAATGTTTCAATAGATCTTGAGTGATTATAAATAATTAGGAACTTTTAAATATTTGCCAAGTTGATTGCGTCTTTTTTGCACAAAAATGGCCGCACATACATGGCTCCTGACTATTTAATTTTTGCCAGTGCTTAATAATTTTCCATAAGATCTCTCATTTTTTTTATCATTTTTTTTCACTGTCATTATTACTACTATTATTGGAAAATTTGCTTTTTCTTTTCTATTCAAAAGAATATGAAGCAATTGTTTGTTAAAAACAGTCAATTAATGACGAAGTGCAAAAAGAACTGTGACCGGTGTGTTTTTGCATACAGTCGAATATATTTATTGAATTGCTTTTTTGAAGCGATGTCGTTGACATGATAAAGTCAAAGTTTTTCTGTATGCATTACATTCGATCTTTCACTGTTGAGTGTTTTTTTGTTAATCGCCTGTCAAGAGAAGCATAAGTGAAAAAATGAGATTTTGCTGGGAGAAAAGAAGCTTACTTACTTTAGGGCTTCTGTGTTTACTACATATTCCTCTATTTATCAACGGTATGTTGGTATTTTTTAAAAATGTCATAATTATATCAGAAAATTTTAAGTCTTAAACTTAAGATACAATTTCTTTTATTATTCAAAAACTTTGCCTTTTAATATAATTTAAGAGATATTTCTTATGTTAGTAACAAGTAATTTGTTTATTTAAAAAAAGTAAACTTAAAATCATTCGATAGTTAGGTATTTTTTGCATAAAAAACAATTTTTAGTGTAGTAATTAAACTTTTAAATTTCCACTTATTGGGAGTAATTTAAAAAAAATAATCTTAATTGAAAGAAAAAAAGTTGAATGTTTTTTTTCTCTTAATCAGTTACTATCCAACATATATATTTAACTTTAGAAATGTTTAACTCGAAAATAAAAAATCATTTACCAAAAATGTTTTTTTATTGAAAAATGTATTTTAGTAACAGCCAATGCAAGAAACTAATTAAACATTTGCATAATAATTAATATAAATAAAAATTTAAAGTTAATCTAAAAAATGATAAAGAAAAATAAAAAAAAACCTAAACTTATGGTAAATTATTCAACTTCCATATCAGGAACTACTTCGCTTAAATTTTTCTCAATATTTGATGTTTGGAAAGGTTCTTAAAGATTTAAAACATCAGGATGATGGTTACGAGATATTTTAACCTACAATTAAGTTAATTCTTTGATATGCTTTTTTGATATTGTATTCTATTAATCTTATATTTTTATTTTTTAGAAATATATTTTTATTACATTTTTTTCGATTAAAATAGGTATTTTTAATATTGAGTAAATAATTCATTTATTTATATTATTATTATATTGTTAAAAACTAAATAAAATGACTTAAAAAATGCATTTTTTATTCATTAGGAAATATACTTTAAAGATATTGCTAAGATTTATTTTAATTAATTAATTAATTAAATTAATTCATAAAAGTAAAAACACCCTTCCAAAAGTACATTACATTTTTAGAAGAATTTTGCATTCTGAAATACTTTACTTTTTAGTTGCATTTAAACTATAAACATTAAATTGAAAATTAAGTTAGTCGTAAAATATGATTATTTGAATCACCTGAAACGTAATACAATTTTTTTTCCAACCACTGTGGAAAGATGACATTAGGAAGACACTTTTTGTTCGCGTATAAACAAAACAATGTAATCAGAAAGTTTCATTGAAATTTCTGAGATAAAAAAATATTCTTTACATCTTTTAGCGATAAATTTTTATTTAATTATTTGGAATATACTTTAAAAATACTCAAATTTCTTTTACAAAAGCTTCTGAATTTTATTGATATTACTAAATTCTTTTTTTCAAATCATTTTTTTTTTCTTTTGAAATATTTAAGTATTTTATAAACATAAAAAATTGTTTAAAAAGGACGTATTTTTAAAAAAAGTAATAGATATTTATGAATAGCGTTGAAGTTAATTTCAGAGAACGTAAAATTTTACTGTATAATTAATAATATTTAAAAAATTCAGAATTATTTATTTAAAATAATGATTTTTAATTTTCATAGAATAAAAACAACATGATTCATATTAAAGTTTTAGGGAATATTAAATAATGTTTTCATCTAATTTCAAATGCATTTAACATACAAAATATATTTTAATATTTGCATTATTCTTTAAAATCAACAAAGTTTCTTGTACAAAAATTTTGTCAAACTTTAAATATTTCAATACACCTTCTTCTCTCACTGCTTATGTATCAGGGCATTATCCTTTTCCTTGCTCCCTTCCAATCTATTCTTCTCTTCTGACTCCCTCATATTCTTCCCTTTTTTCCCTCTTATCTATCTTAATGATCCCCTCAACACCCTTTTCTTTCCTTCTATTCTTTGATCACACCCCAATACACCTGTAAGAACTATACTGCATGAATACACCACCAGTAAATATATTTAAAAAAATTATCGAATTAATAGAAATTTTGTGAAATTCAACTAAAACTGATAAAATTTATTAAAGAATTTCATTAAAAACTTTCCAAAGTATTTTAATTTAATAATTGATAAATAATTGAATTTTATAAAGATGAGTCACATTCTAATGTATTCATGCTTCTTAGTGCGAAGATTAATAATTAAAATTTTTATTAGTTAATTTAAAAAAAGATACGCACTTAAATTTTTTTTTAATAAAATTGAATTTTTGCAAAGTTTTTTTAAAAATTCTGAAAAATAAGATTTTTGAAATTTTTTAATTCTATTGTTTTAAGATAATTGAATTTCTATAAACAAATAATTAAAAAACTTTTAAATAATTAAAATTTCTTTACATTCTATTAAAAATAATTAACTTCTTTTAAAGAATTTTTTTTAAATTTTTCGAAAATAATCAATTTACTAAATTCTTTTGAATATACCTATTATTTTAAAAAAATATTCTTCACAAGAATTCAATTATTTACCTACATAAATTTCCATAAAATTTTAAAAAACAATTAAATTATTTTCAAAAGTAATAAAATTCTTCGCAGAAATTAAATTATGTTTAAAATTAAAGAAAAAAAATTTTTAATTAAAATTATTAAAAAAACATTATTTTCAAAAAATTTAAAGAAACTTGTCAAAAGAATTTAATTATTCATAAAAACTTTAATAAAAAATTTGGAAGCCATTTGTAGATTTATTTATGTTTGAAATAAAATAAATTTAAATTTGATGAGAAAAAAAAACCGGGAAAAATTAGGACAAAGCTGGAAAAAAACCGGGAATTTTGTTGAACGAAATAGTAGAACCCTGACCACTGATAGTTTGTTAGAAAACTTGTAAATAAATTATTTTTTTATATGATAACATTGATTCTTAAATATTTTATTTTCCTTATTTTCAGGCCTCAGATATTATGACTTTTTCGACTTTTTTCGACTATTTTACAATAATGCGACTTTTATCGACTTATATTAAAAAATTGCCACTTTTTCGACTTTTCTTCCAAATTTTGGGACAAAATACCATATATTTTTATATAAAATGCAACTTATTTCGATTTTTATAGTGTGAAAAGCATAACTACCTATAGACAAATCTTTAAAAATTTATTTTTTAATAATTTTTCTAATTACATTTTTTAAATATATATCTAAAAAGTTTTTGAATAATTGGTAAATTTGTAAAATTTAATTGAAAATAAATCATTTTTTCAAGTATTTTATAACAATTTTTGAAAATTAACTTTTAAAGAATTTTAATTGAAAATTTTGCAAATAAGTAATTAAATTCTTTTTAAATTCTTAAAAATTTTAATGAATAATCTTCAAGTGTAAGTTTAATAAAAATGAAAATTAATGAAAATTAGGTTCTAAAAATAATATTAAAATTATTTTGAAAAAAGTAATTCTCTAAATTATTTCGTTCTAATTTTTTAAAATTAGAACGAATTAAAAAAATGTATTGAAAAAAATTGAATTTAAAAATTAGAATTCAATTATTTTCAATATTCAATATTTTAAATACTTCCGAAATTTGATTTTTTTTTATATTTCTTAAAAACTCAATTTATTGTTTTTAGAAAATTTTATCAAACTTTAATTATTTCTCAAAGATTTTACTAAATTTAAATTAGTTTTTAAAAGATTTTACCAAATTTTAATTTTTTGGACATTTTTTAATTGTATCTAATTGTAAAACTATTTTGTCTTTCAAACATTATTTAAAAATATTTTTAAAAAATTAATTTTATGAAATTCTTTATTAAAATTTTTTAAAATATTCTACCTTGATATCTTGAAAAAGAAAAATGAAATTATTATAAAAAATTGAATTTTTGTATTTAAAATTTGAATTCTCGAAGAACTTTCGAAAAATTATTAAATATTAGCAAAATTATTCAAGTTTTGATTAATTGAATTTAGAAATCAGGGAAATACAAAATAAAATTTTTGTGACAACACCTTATTAACCGTTTGAGGGGCACATTATTTATATGAACAAATTTTCTTTACAACTCATGTCTTAATATTTTTGGGGTCGCTAATTACGAATTTGAAGTTAGTTTAAAAAAAATTCAAAATGGCGGATCCAATATGGCGGACATTTTTTTTTTAATTAATCGGATTTGCTTAAAAATGTTTACTCGGGGGTTTTTGAGGTCGCTGATTACGAATCTGATGTTAGTTTTTAGAAATTCAAAATGGCGGATCCAATATGGCGGACAATTTTGTTTTAAATTAATTGGATTTACTTAAAAATTGTTATTTGGGAATTTTCGAAGTCACTGATTTAAAAATTTCTCCGCTAATTATTAACCCACAATCTAAATTTAAAAAAAAACTAAACATTGATAATCAGGGACCCCAAAAACCCCCGAGTAACAATTTTTAGTCGATTTTAAAATGTTTAAAAAGTTTGTGATTTTTAACAATAATTTATGAATTTTTTTAAACAATAAGAATTTTTTTAACATAAGCTAGGTTACATATTTTTAAAGCCCTATTCTTCCTGAAGAGAACGCACTAAATTTGACTCAAAAATATTAATTTTCGTCAAAGATATTGAGGTTATTTAAGGTGGGACATATACGTCCCACCGCCCCTCAAAGGGTTAAATAAACGACTTTTTTCTATTTTTTCTATTAAACTTATAAACATATATTAACGTTTTACTTTGTAATTTTAAAATAAAACAAATGTTTGTGTTACCTATTGATATAATTAAGCGCAAGATCCACCAAGCAAGATTCAAACGACAATATCAAAATTTGAGAAAAATAATCAATAACAAATGAATGTTATATGTTTTCGTCCTTTCTCTCTAAAGTTAAAGAAATTTTTTAATGTACATTACTATAGACTAGAAATCGAGTCTAATTTATTTGAATCAGCAAAGTTTCAATTTTTCCTTGATAAAAAAAGAACTTGTATTTTGATAAGTTTTTTTGTGGATTAGGCTATTCGGAACTGCACCCCAAAAAATTGCAATTTTTTAATGTTAAATATGAGTGGCATTCAGCATAAAATTACTTTATCGACTTTACCTGAAATATTTATAGTCAATTGACCAATTATAAAGTCTAGTCGCCTTATGAAAAAAGTGAAAAAAAGTACGAATTAATTCATGATCCATTGCCATTCTTACTACTTTCATAGAATTCTTTATAATTTTACTGTATAAATATTATATCGAAATAAATTTTTTATTAAATTAAAGTCCTAAACAATAACCAAATATGAATAACACTAGTCGAAAAAATTTTGTTGAAAAAGGTTCATAAACTAACGAAGTTGAAGTCCACAACGTTTTTCAGCGAAAACGCTTTTTTAATTAATTTGAATATTATATTTTTGTTAAATATACAACAATTATTATTAAAATATAAATAAAACTCTATGTACCTTTTTAATAAATTTTTGTGGCAGTATTGTTGCTTTTTCCTTTTTTTTCTATTAATTACCACTTATTGAAAAACTTTTTTCGTTGATAAACGTTGTGGACTTCAACCTGGTCATAAACTACGTGGCCCCTATTTTTTTAGAAGTTTGAACCCCCCTCCACTTGTATCACACTACTACATATACAATAGCGCCCTTTTCTCTTATTGCACTCCATAGCTTCACTACCTCCCCCTCAAAAGGCTTTATGTTTTTTAAAACAAAATCTTCTCTAAAAAGTTCAGGATACCGATTTTTCTTGTTTATTTTTAACCAGAGATATTCCTGGATAAAATAAATGTTCGAAGAAAGCTAGATAACGTTGCTTCTTTACTTTTTGACTTTTGATGCAGGCAAATCACCAATAACCGAAACTGATATCTTGGCTCATTCTTCCTTCACTTCTCTAAGGACATTAATAATAATTGATTGAACATCAATTCCTTTTTTCTCAAATCGGGGTTCCAAATCTTTGATTAAATTCTCGACAAACTCTAGAGATTCTTCATTTATTAGACGATTACTAAAATAATCTGAGCAGTTCGTAGCTTTTTTCAAGTTGTTTTTTACACATTTCGTGTAATCCAAGAAAATCGGACAACTCACTAAACCATTTTCTTAAACTTTCTTCTGTTACTACAGCTCTTCCTTTTGAAATTCCTTCAGCAGTTCTAGAAGCAATAATCGGATGTCTTTTCAAAAACAAAGAGCACCATTTTCGTCCAGGTCGACCGTTCTTGAAAGATGTTTTTCTTCCATCATCAAGGACAATTTTAGCAACATAAGTTTTCAGATCCTTCAGTTTTAAAGGGGAACCCCATTCTGATAACGTAATAATCCAATCTTGTATAGCGTTTTCTTCTGCCTCCGATAAAATGGTTTTGGGTCCAGTTCTACTTTTATTTCAAACGCAGGAGAATATTTGAAGAAGCGTTGTTTTTCTTTAACCTCCTTAAGTGGAAGAACTTCTTCATTTTCTGGACTAGAAATATTGTATTATATATTACAGATCCAATATAATAATATTCAAAGTGATTAAGAATTATTTAATTAAAGTTCATTTATATATAAACGCTTAAGCACAGATAACCATTTTTCTGGCATTTGATCCACCACTGGTGTAACCATCCTATTACCTATTAGTACATAGAGAGAAATCTGTTGCTTAAAAGTACTATTAGAATTAGTAGACTTGTGCGCATTTAGTAACAGATTCCTCTCCATGTGCAACTAATTTTAAAACTTGTTAATTTTTAGTTTTAGAATAAGCTTTATAATTTGTTAACTTTTCAGGATTAAAGTGCCATTGTGACATATGCACAGAGAGTAATCATACCTGTATAACAGATGGGTACTGTTTTGCCAGCACTACTTTGGACCATGATGGTGTTACACATGCTTACCGGTATGCTTTTTTAATAATCGTTTTTAATTTCTTCATACTTTATTGATCTTTAAGCTGAAAGAGATCAAATTCGCAGAATTTGATCCGTTCAACACTAAACTTTTAATTTTTTTAAATTAAGAAATTAAATAATGTTTTAATAATCGAATTTTACATATATTTGAAATTCAAACAAAGTTCAAGCTGATTCATGTAGAGTGAATGAACTTTTAAAAATTAGTTAAGAAGTTTTAATTAATGAAGTTAGTAAAGGAGTTCAGTGGGGTTCAGTAGTACATGGTGCTATAATTTTTTTAAATGGCTTTTTGAAACTTTCATATGGCCAGAATATGCAATTACTATGATATGCAATTCATTAAAATCCCGTTAGGTAATAAGAAACACATATACAATATATAATTGTTTCGGCACTCAATTGTTATTATATGCTGCCCAAGACAATCGCCAGTCTCGCCCTCATGGTATTGTCATCAGTGCAGTTCAATTAGGCATTATGTTAAATATAAGCAGTAATCTGGTTTTATAAAAGTAGAAAGCATCTAATTTCAATTTTCACCTATTTTAACGTCCGAATAATTAGTAAAATCTATAAGACTGGAATCAGAAGGTTTATCTTCAGTGATGGGAATGCAGTGGGACAACTCAAAATTTTGCAATGCACCAAAAATTTTATCGCACAAGTCCAGAGAAAAAAAATGTTTTATTGTAGAAGTACTTTTGGAAATAATGTTAAGAAACATGTTTTATTTTAAAAGTTAGTAAATTTCAATTTGAAATGAGTTTAGAAACTATAAACATTCAGGGCCCTCAATTGGCATTGTTACTATTACTACACAAGAAATTATTTTCTTTATTCGCATTTTTGATAAGTCAATATTTTTCTATTATTAGTGTCAATTATTTTAATAAAATAATACTGGCATTAGTAATAATAGAATTTTAACTTATGAGACATGCAGTTAGACAATTATCCAATCAAACTAATTCAACTTAAATACATCGTAACGAAAGGCAAAATATATTTATCGAAAAATGTTTAAAACATGGTTTTCATTTACATCAATCTAGGTAATAATAGTTTAAATCTAAAAAAAATGTATTATTTTTCAAAGCACTCTCATGAATTTAAAGGAAACTTTGAATGTATTTTAGTACATTTTATTTACTGTCAGAAGTATCAGTTAGATTTTTGTGGATTCTTCGAAGAATGGTAATTTTCTCACAGAATGCGCATATAAAGTTTTAATGACGTATAGTTCCATTTTTATCACTGAAAACGAAAGATAAATTCGCTTTTTCATATTTAGAGGATGTTATGACAGAAAAAATTGGTTTCCACCGGAAGGGCCTAAACCTGATGATTCAACTGCATATTGTGATGATACAAATTATTGCAACAAAAATTTTAAGCATCCTGATTCAGGTATTAATTAAATTTTAAAAGTTAAAGTTGTTTGTGTGAAAGAGTTTCAGATTGCAGTAAGCAGTGTAGCTTTCTTTTTAAATCTTCGGTTTTTATTAAATTATACCTAGTAATATACTATACAATAACAAGATTTTTCTTATTAAAAATTAAAGAATCTGCTTCAAACTTTAAAGGATTTATCAAATCATTTTCAACAAAAATATTACTATTTGAATCAGTGACTAACTTTTTTCTTCCAAATTTTTAACTGATTCAAATTTAGAGAGTAAATTGAAAATTATTCACAGCTATGTAGGTTTAAAATTTTTAAAATTTTGATATTGTTTTACACAATAATAATTACAGAACCGATTCATATGATTGAAATTTAAGTGTGAATTTGTTATATGAAATATAATTTTTTTGTTTTGCAGTGTTGACAATAAAGTGTTATAACTAACAGAATTTATGTGATGCAGTTTTAAAGTATATTAACCATTTTAAAAGATTTATCTAATTATTTTATAACATTCAGTTTTATCCTTTTTCTAACATAAAAAACTAATCACATTTTTTTGCCATACTTAAAGAGAATTTGATCATACAATTGATTTTAAATTGATGTTATATCATATCAATAAAAAGTCAATAAAGCGTATTGTCTGTTTGAAAGACAAATATATTTGCCAAATGACAAATATTTTTATTTACTTTACATATAATATTTACCGCCAAAATTATGAAAATGCAGTACAATAGAATCTACATACAACAGAATTCGACACTTGAAGAATTTTCATGAAAATATTCTAAAATAAATACGAGTGAATCTCATTATCAATGCATCTAATTCGTTAACTGCCCTAACTGAACTCTAGGTAACCCGAAAACTTAATGTATTAAACATATTTAAAAAAAATTCTTCAGCGAGGAATTGTTGAGATGAAGATTGTCTAAGTAACTATATTATACATATATCATGTGTAACTATTGCAATAAGTTTTCAAAAATTTAATAATAAATGATTAGAGTTCTGGAAAGTTTGACAATAGTTCTGCTTTTTATTAAAAAAAGACATGAATATCACATGTCACATGTACATTAACATGTCGTACATGAAGTAAGTCACATTATAAAAAAGACATGAATGGCACATGTGTTACACATGTCGTACATGAAGTACGTCACATGTGTCACACATGTCATCATACATCAAGAAAGTAATATGTGTCACGCATGTCGTACGTAAAGTAAGTCACATGTGTCACACATGTCCTATGTGAGTATGCCACATGTGTCACACATGTCGCATGTGAAGTATGTCACATGTGTCACACATGCCGTACGTAAAGTAAGTCACATGTCACATATGTCGTACATGAAATAAGTCACATGTGTCACGCATGACTTACGTGAAGTACGTCACATGTCACAAAGATTTGATTATCACCTTATCTAAAGAAATTTGTCATTGTAGCTTACAAAAGAAAATATGAAGTTCATTTCTCAATTATCAAACAAACTTTAATGACTTTTTCGGAATTCCAGAATTATTATCAAATTAAAAAGGACTCTAATATTTTACTTTCGATTTTATGGAAACGTGCAATTTCATTTTTTACACATATGACTCCAAAAATAAGTGTGGTCTACTACAATGGTATACTGTGAAGATTTTAATAGCTTAAATTAATTTATAAAAAACAGACAATAATCGCTGATGTCGAAGGAATGTCTTGTCACACTAGCAATATTTTTCTCTAGAGACAGGTTGACACATGTATAATGAAAAATAATTTTTTGGTATTGAGAAATCTAACTTCGTGGAACCTAATTCAACTAGTATTTTTATGTGTTATTTACAATCTTAGGCATGGAAACACGAGAGTGTTTCCCACTTTTAAAATCTTAAAAAAATTTTTATTACACAGTTAAAAATGCTTAAACCTATTTTTAATAGAACTTGATGGATTGTTCGAGAAGAAGTTTCTTTTGATAATGAAATCTATTTAATATTAATTAAACCCGTTTTTCTATTATAAACAATATCGATTTAACATTTTTTTAACTCTCAAAAATGAGAAACTGGTTTTTTCTAAATGTCCTACTTGGAATAAACTTGAAGGTGCGTGAATCTCTCTCCTTCACAACCTGAGCCGCTGATCTTCTGTATGACGAGCGACTCAAGGAATACGACGTTCGTCATCAAGTGCTGCAAAGAGGATTTTTGTAATCGTGGTTTGAGACCTCAACTTCAGCCTCGCATCAAAGAAGGTACAGTTACTGTCTTGTAACTAATTGTCAAAGGTGGCACGCGTTTATCACTCTTTTATATTAAAAATTATTTACAAAAATCTATATAATATATTTTTTTACAAATGATGAAATTAAATGAATTGCTCAACTTGTTTTATATTATTTGATGCATTGTCTTTTGCAAGTAATTTTTGTTTCAGCAAAATAATTCCACGCATCTAAAATTTTTCTTTGTTGTACAATTTCTAATCTGGTTTAGTTGTTTATTTTTAAGGTACTTTCCTATGTTTCCGAGAAAGATAAAACCATGTGAGTGAAAAAGATAAACAGATATTTTTGTCACTCTCGTGGTTTTTGGTTTTCTTTATCTTTATTTCTGTAAGGTGAATACAAAACGTTACACATCTGAAGTAATAATGAAGATACTACCACAGTGATAATAGGTAGTAACCTTCATAATTTGGTGGTTTTTATTTCTGATCTAAGAAACAAAGCTTCTATTTTTCCATCTGTCACATGAAAAAAATTTCCTGTGTTATTCACAGAATCTCTTCTGACATCTTCAAACTGATTTTTTAGTATCTACAAGCAACTGAGTTTGTCGAATAAACAAAACGTTCCCTTGCACATGCTCAAATTTTTTCTGATTACCACAGACTAGCTTGAGAATCTGTTTGGATGTTGTCTGGACGTAATAAATGTTTTGGGACAAAAGATCTTCTAGTTGCCCTGAATTTAGATTTCAAAAAGTTTTTTGGGCATAACGCAGTTAACCACGCTCTAACGTTTTCTGGAGCGAAAGCTGTCCTTCGATTAAAGAAACCAAATTAGACAACTTCATAAAACTCATTTAAAATTTCTCGGATCAAATCAAGACGTCGACAAAATTAAGAATGTAATCAAGTATCTTACTACACTTCTCAGTGTATTTAATTTTACAATTTTATAAATGATTTCTCTGTAAATTGAATCAGACAAATTTATAGCGTTGGAAAGCTTATTAACCCTCTGCCTACGCATAATAATTGCTTAATAAAATCTTATCTTTCCATTGATCCCAAAAACAATATAAATCCAACTGGGTTTTAAAATAACTAAAAAATTTGTGCGAACATACCGTCGATCGCTAGAATTTGCTGTCTCGTTTAGGTTCCTACGTTCGTGCTCTAGGGCCGAAAGTTTCTAAAGCGTGCCACTAATTTTTCGATAGAGATATTTTTATATTGCATATCAATAATTTTATAATATTTTCGTACCCAAATATGACTCCAAAGTTGATTTTGCAAAATTTAAATTTTTTAAGAGTCATTGTTTAAACAATTTTTACGCATCACATTAT